CAACTCGAAACACATGTCTCAGCAGCCTTTTTTTTTTTTTCATTCTTTGGAAGCAGGTCCAGTAATTAGGGAAGCTAACCACATCCTTATTTATTCTGTTCTAATAGATTTTTTAAAACTCACATTTCTGTTTCCAATACAGCCTTTCACCACTTTGAGCATTGATAAGATATGGATGGCTAGATGTGCCAGGCCGGTATGGATCAGTATCACAAATGGATCAGATAAGCACAAACAAAGCATTTTCCTCAGAAGGATAATTATACAGTCATATAATACTTCCTCCTCCTCTGCATCCTCTTACACATTGCTGCAGCAATGAATGATTCCTCATGAGCAGGACTTTCCTTCTGCCACTTCAAATTGGCTTAAATGTCAACAGATGGAAGAAAGACAATTCAGCATACTAAAGGTCAGCTCAATCAAGCACGTTTAACTCTTCAGTGAAACGCACAAAGCCTATTCTTTGTGTACTGGGGATGGTAATTTAGTGGTGGGGGTCTGCCCTCCTGTGGTCAGCACAGCAACTCTCAAGGCGTCTCAGAGGTACAATGAATTTTCTTGTTCAGTTTCTGTTCTTGTACACTAACAATTATCTCTGGAGACAAAGACCCTTTCGTTGCATTCAGTTTAAAATGTTCCCTTTGTTTTGCGTTATTCAGATTGTCAGCACATTTTGACATGTCACTCTAAGAAAAGCAGTGGTGTAAATGATACAGTAAATGATAGCTGAATTCCATTAAGCTGCTGCAAGGCCCTGGTATTGTGAATACATAATGGCATAGCGCCCTGTGAATCCTTTAAAAAAAAATAAACAAGTTGCTGGGAGTCATAAAGCCAGTCAATGTGAGGAAGAGGTGAAATGAAAATAAATCATAAAGAAAAGCAGATATAATATATCAATAACGCTTGCCTGAGCTGGTGAAAGCTGCAGGTGGATTCAATATGGATATTCCACCGGTCACAGCTGCTCCACCTTCCGGGCGCGATGCCTCCAGACAGCTTGTGAAGCAGCTGTCCTCTCTGCTCCGTTAAAAAGCCACAAGTATAGTCTATCACTGACGGAGCTACGTGTGTTGCACAGAGCAGCTTGAGCCTGGCAATTTAACTAATTAACTCTGTGAAATATAGATACAAAATAATTATGAGCATGAATCTATCTGTTGTTCATAACTTGAAATTGAATGGTATTAACTTTGTCTGTAGGCTAGCATGCCGTTCTGACACAGTTCATGCAGTCAATCATTTTTTCAGTAGAAAAAAATGAATGAATGGTTGTCTTCTGCTTAATTTCTCTATTTGATCACAATAATCTTGAAGGACATGATACAAAATATGATCCCACCCCAACTGTTTTGTGGATTTACAGTGAAATAGTTATTCCGTTGTAATGTATTTGTGTGTGTGTGTCTCCCTTTCTGTCAGGGTCTGTGTCTCTGTCCCTAACACATAAACACAAACGCACACATACAAACACAATGTATGAGGGCCCCCAAAGAAAATCCTGCCTTGGCCCCCTGTTGTTCAGAGCCAGGCCTGCTCACTATCACACTGTCATGACTTGCTGCTTGCATGCTTTTCCAAGTTTAAATGTCTGCTTTAAAAAGGGCCAACAGAATGTTGCAGTAGCATAAACATGTAGCCAGGATGGTACTTGTACATTTCAGAGCATCAAATCTACTGGGAACCTCTTAAGACTGATGGAAATAGTCACAAGACAAGTAATGAGAAGATGATGAAGTTATCATGGAAATAGATACAGAGATAAACAAGGAGACAAAACGAAACTGAACGGTTGATGACAGAAAACAGAATACATGTCTGATGTATTTCAAATTATATTTAGCATTTACTACACAGTGTATTGTTTGGCACCCCAAATGTCTGACTTCTACAATTCAATGTTTGTGTAATTACGTTTTGTTGTGGCTCCATCTATTTCTTGAAAATTCTCATCAGAGGTGCAAGCTGGCTGGGATCGTCAAGAGTCAGTAAAATAAAATAAAAAAAGTAGTTTCAGTCCTTGATTATGATTGGCTGAGCCGCGCTTGAAGCCGTTGTAAAATACGCTATAAACACACAGCTGTGACCGCATTACATCAGTATTACTGCGCCAAAAGAAATTGTTACACAATGTCAGACGTTGCTGTGAATTTTGATTTACTGTGTGGGTTAAGCGCGGATGAGTTCTTGGTGGAAAGAGATGGACAGGGTAGAGGAGAAGGATAAAAAGGAAAGAAAGGAGAAGCTGAATGAGAGAGAACTCGAAGAGCCGGAAAAGTCAGAAAAAGAAGCAGACTGTTCGTTGTCCGTTTGCTTAGAAGGATCTGGATCTTGATTTAACACAATCACCAAAATGTAGCTGAACAGTGTGAACCTTATCGGTTTCAACAGTTATGTTGGCCGACATGCTGAGATTGAATGGCGAGAAGATGCTGGAGCAATATCCCTGCTTTTGGCACTGTGCAAACACAATGCGCCTGTCCAGACTCAAACACCCCTGCACCAGCAAGGAGTGTTCACATATTTGAACAATACTTCAACAACTATCCAGATAAATGTTACTAACACCCCCAATCGTTCCACTCCATCTGTGTGTTGCTAAATGTTGCCGAAGAACTACATTGCTTGGAGGAAAAATGATTATTTGTAATCAATAAATAATTTCACTTTTTGTTGCTGTATTTTTATTCCCTGAAACCATGCCAGGTATACGTAGTAAGTAACGCTTTTTAAAAAGCAATAAGCAACTTAAGGCCGTGATTGACAGTGAATTTATAACACCTAAGGGGCGTTGTTAGGCACGACACCAAGCATCCTCTCATCTTATTGATTAATTTTACAATGAAACTATAGAGCTGCTTATCACCAAATTCAATATTACAAAATATCAATAATATACAAATACAGTATTTTCAATTGTGTAAATAGAGCATGGAGGTTTCTTCTTTAGTAGTACTATGTAATAAAACACTCCAGACTCAAACATTCACTTACTGTATTTATGAGCTTTCATTCAGCAGTGGGCCATCATGCGCCCTATATGTGTGGATTTTGGTACAGAACAAAAGGATTTGGAGAGCCTACAGCTGTTTCCTTTTTAGTCAAGTATATCAGTCTGAGCTGCTCCCCGGGAATTCAGTTATTCTGTAATTTTATTGCTGCCTGAGGAATTAAGGTCCTATGACAGAAAAGTCACAGCAATTGAGTAGCAAGTGAAGACAATGTGCAGGACTTGGCTCACTAATGCCACCAGCTGAAATTGCATTGGCTCTTCAAATTTCTATCAAAATACTCACTTCACTCAGACGAGTAACAGAAATGTTGGCTTATAAGCGGTGATTTAAAATAAATAATAAAAAGAGGCCCATAATATGGATAATAGATTTCCTGTAGTTGAAAGGGAAGCTTGGATAATTTGGTTCATTGTGAACACTGCCGAAGCATGAAACCACACACAGAGGAGCATGCAAGAGCTGCTCTTTCAACTACAGCCAACATATGTCCACAGGGTTTGGTCTTTCCCTCGGCACTCTATAGTATTTTCCACACAAATCATGTTTCTGCCCACCTACTGCTATTATTGAAACAACGCTGTTGATTGTTTTAATTTGTAGCTTTGTAGGTTGATTGTTTATTGCTGATCCGATCCAAATTCTGATAGGTCACTTTTAACAAACTTTCCATTATGTAATAACCACCTACACCATGTGGAAGTATTTTGATGATCTGATGGTTGAGCTGAAACGTTTACATGCAAATGTTTTAATTTTTTAAACACCACACATTCTGAATTAACACTTTAGGCTTGGTTTTAATTAAACTGTGTGAAGTCAATTAATCAAATGAAATTATTAATTAAGGTAATTAAAGGGGTAAATTAGATCTGTGATTGTTGGTGGAGGAGGCAGATGCTGAATGATCACCAGCAGGTTTAAGCAGCACAGAGGTCTCATCTCTGGCATTTACACTCACCAGCTGTATTCTTATTAGTATAAAGCGCAGAGTTTAACCATTAAAGCTCGACTAATCATTACGTTTTTGATGTAAGCAAAAAATGAAATGACTATGTGATGTGAAAGAAGTTTCACGCAGTGATGAACCCACAAAAAATTGTCACCCACCTCAGCAGCTCTACTTGGCTTTTCAAAGATTTTAGCTCATTGTTTTGGTTTAACTACTGCAAATTTAAGGTACAGTTAAGTCTCACCTTTAGAAGGCTTTAATACCCAGAAATGTTAGCTGTTGGGGTCCAAAACAGAGTAATGAGGAGAGAGAATAGTAAACTCATTAATGTGGTGACCAGAAAAACAGCTCCAAACAGAATGTTGCAATGTGTGAATGGACAATTGCTAACATATTAGCTGCAACAACTTGTGACCCCATAATATGTCCGGGCTGTGTGTCTGTCAGCATTGTTGTGGACGTACTCTCCCCCAAAGTGGCCAAAATAATTAAATACATTTATTCACTAAAGTGTACAAAGCAACATGAGAGGGGGAATTTTCATTCCAGGATAGAAAAAATATTACAGCCACAACTTTGGCTTGGAAGATATTCATGAGGATTTGGAAATAACAATACATCATGACATCATTATTAGTAGTAGATGTCAACTAAATACAAAGTCCTGTCAATGTACATGATAAAAACTGAGCGGCTTGGCTTGGCCACTAAACATCACTAAGTAGTGGTGATGATAAACAAATGATGGTTCGTTTGGGCACTTCCAATGTCCTTCAGCTAATAGAGTATGGTCTTAAAAAAAGACAAGTTTGAAATGTATCTGTTACTAAGAATTTAAAAATATGACTTGTCTTAAATGCCATATATAATGCATTGAAAGACAAAACACGGAAGAAAAGATCTGGCTACAGTAAAGAGCTACCGTACAACAATAAAATATATTTAAACTAAAACGGTGTCTTTGTAATAGTGTTGCATATATAATGAAAACACAAGATCACTATTGATCCAACGGTTCAAGTCAACTTGGGGGGGATTTTATTGCTAAATAAACACAGCTAATAGATCATTTTTGAAAACAAGGTTGGGGAGAATATAATAAAACAATAACACATTTATCAATTTGACAGATCCCTGCACACATCCAAAGGATCTTGAAGTAATCAAAAAAAACACAATGTCTTGATTAATATTAAACCAGATCTTGCAGTATCAAAATGCAAATCATGCTGACCAATATGACTCACGGCTTGTATCCCAGAGGTTTCCAAATTCTTCATAAAGTCCTGTCATAGGTGGACTTTGACGCCTAGTCATAAACTGACTTCTTGGCTTCAGAAATGAGAAATATATTCCATGTGGCCCTTTCTGTTTCATGATGTTCTGGTTGTTGGGTTCCTCTTTGTGGAACTTTAAACCCAATATTTAGAGAAACATAATATTGAAATTGCCTGCTTGTCATAGTTACCAATTCCCAGAATCCTGTCTTCAGATGGGTGAAAATAGTTGTTTGGGTTTATCCAAAACTTTTCTATTCCTTGTCACATTTCTATGTGTCCGCCTCCATAAAGGCCTGCTTAGAGGAATTTTTTTCTTTGCTGAGGTCATTTTGAAGACATATTAACCTGGAGGATAATGAGTTAGGGGGAATTAATAAAGCAGCAACAACAGGTCTTCTTTAGCTTTTGACTATGTAAACCAAACACCACAGAGCACAGGCAACCTGTGAAATCAGTAATGGCCCCAAAAACTGGCTCACATTACTAACTCTAGACGAAAGTGTCCACTTAAGAAGCTAGATCCTAATAAAGAAATATAAATGTACTGATCAGGAAAACTCGGATAATCTATAGTGCGATATGTTTGGATGGCTTCACAATGGCTTCACAGTGTACACCAGATGCAGCTGAAAATTCCATTAGGAAACGAATGGTCTCCAACCGTCTGACTCAAAATATCCTGGAGTGAGTTTTCGCTCAGGTTGCAACACTCGTGGTCACAGAAAACCCAGGAAGAAGTCTGGTTTAGGTGAGAAGAGGCTTTGGCTTTTGCAGAGGTCACTTAATTACTAGAGCTGTATATGTCATCGAAACCAAAATGAGAGGTTCACCTGTTATTGTTATTTTATACTCGAGGCGCATAAGTGTCCTGAAAAGGGACAGATTAAGTAATTTAAAACCATACAAACCCCCATAGGACACCGTTTGACTGACAATCAGGTGGGTGTTAAAGCACTTGTTGGGAGACTATCCGTGTGCTGCGATAGAAAACCAGGCCCGTCCCAGACACTCTTTTTGCAGAGTGGCGTTAGCAGCAGTTTCACGACTGCAGTTCAAATCTACACTGCACCATCTATTGGCAACAAAAGTAACAGCAGCAGCAGTTTAGACTTGCAGATGTTAAGATGCACTAACTGCAGTGAAGGAGATTAATGTCTTCTGATACTGGATCCCTTTATAAGCAGAAAAGTTTAAAGAATTGTCATCCTGTGTGTAGTGTGGTAGGGGCCAGATACCAAAACAAAATTAGCTCTATGGATTGACTCATTTCTGCATTTGGTTCATAATATTAGAGATGAAAACTGATATTTATATCATTTACATTTCCTCCATCTGAGGTCTATTGGTGGAGTAGTTATCTCAGCACAGGTGACTATCTCTCCAGGGAATTAAAAAAGAGAGAATACACTAAATTTGTTGAAGAAGAGGACTCAAACAGTAAGCAGAAGTTCTGTGCGATGGTCGGATTTGACCCATGACAGTTGTTTTTGTAGAGTGGATGGCCTTAATCACTGCAGATGTAACATTAGAGCCTCTGGTGCACAGCTTTCTGTCTGTTTCTTCGGTGTAGTTCGATACATCCGGAGGTGGGTAGACTTTTTCTTTCAAGAGGACAATAAAATAAAGCACATGGCACTGGCATCACAGAGCTGGGACTGAGGTCCCGACAGTGGGCCAGAAGACTGGAGAACTGGGACTGAGCACCATCTAAATAAAGAGCAAAGAGCTGGAGAACCCGATCTGTTTTTGTTGGGCTTTGTAGTACAACATCCCTGTTTCATCTCCTGCTCATTAAAATGCCCGGGACTAGACAAAGTGGAAACCAATGATGCTCGCTCAAGTCCAAAACTGATGTCTTTTAGACTCATAACCTCAAAACCAAAGCACAATTGAGCTAATGTGCCTCCGGAGAAAGGACAAAGTTGATGAATTCAAGCAGAAACACAGTTGTATTGAATAACTTCACTTTGCCATGTATATTTTAGCGGTGAAAAAAAAACAAAAAAACCCTGATTGTCATGGGACAGATTCTTATGACAGACATTAAAAGTATGTATACTTTTCAAATCCCTTTATTGAACATCTTCAAAGCATTAACTTCCATTCCTTTCCCTTCCGTTTTCTCAACTACATCTCATTTTCATCACTGCAGATGATTGCCAAGTAAACACTGAGCTATTTCAAGCAGCTCTGTTATTTCATTTGATTCCACTGTTGCTCATGGTTTGGGCTTTGCAGACTCCCTTGCCGGCAACTTCAAAGGCAGCTCCCTTGTAGGTTGCGACACACTGGCCGTCCGTGCGTAGGTCTGGCTGAACCTGCTCCCACACCTTCTTCTTGGGGTTCAGCTCTTTGTCTGGTTCACCTGCAGTCAAGAAGTCAGTTTTAATGCATTAGAAACACCTCAGTTCGCTGCTCATCCATCACACTTGCAGGAATTTTGTATCCAAGACAGTACCATATCTGAAATACTGTTTTGATACATTGATAGATGACTTAACCTGGCTTCATGGCTTTTTCATATTCAGCGTACACTGAAACAATCTGTGTTATAAGCTGAAGCAAATACACACTGTGAGCAAATGACCATGATTCATCAGGCTAATTCTAATTTCATACATCCCATGTGAATTGTAAATAGTTTTATTTGTTCTATTAGATTGTCAGCTTTTTAAAGTGCAGTTTGTTCTCAGCCATAATTCAAAACATCGAAACCAAACTTCTCAGAATCAAAAGCATACATCCAGGGAAAACAATTAAATGAGGTCTCACTTCACAAGGACTTTGTTTTTGATGTTACCTAGAATAAAATCATAACCGGTACTGACTGGCTTCTGTCTGGTGTCAATGTTTTCCTCTCTACGCAACCATCTCACGGTGTGAGGACATAAATGTGTTTCATTTCCCAATGCTGCCATTTACGACCTAAGAGTGGCAACAATCAGTTTTGATCAGAAGCGTGAAAGAGAGGTTTTGATGAGCAACTTGCGCACATTCTTAAGTTCAAGCAGAGGTACTGGGCCCCATTAGTTGGGGAAATGCGGGCAATTACAGCCATGTACCCACACCAGCAGTGGACTGGCTGTAATTTAATCTGTACCATGGCTCTTTAGTTGGAGAAAAGAGGGAAAGTAGGAGGGAAAACCTATTATTTCCTTTATATGTACTTTAGGAAACAGCCTCAGCTGTATGGTTTTTAACAAACAAAAATGCAAAATCATGCCAAATGAACCAATCCCATCATTGCACTATCCTCCACTGCTGTTCTCTGGTGAAGTTTTTAGAGGATTGGACTCTTTTTAATTCAGTATCCATACAAATGATTCTAGCCACAGAGATGCCTTGTGAATCAAACAGCTTTTAGAGTGGCTGGGACATGTGTTCTGCAGGGATGAAAGCCTCAAGTGATGCATCTGGAATGCGGGTACTTGGACCACAGATCGACCTTCATCATATCCTCCTCTTCGATTTTTTTCACAGGAAAAACTTCCGTTTGGTTCTTTTTCTCAAAACATTACGAGAATAACAAGACAAATCCTCTTCTCATCACTAATATTCAGCTTTGTTAACTTCTATAATAAATGTGTGTTTTCAAAACTAGAGAGACTGAATACAAAAATCACACTGGCCTGTTGGTGGCAGTGTTTGATTTTAGGCCACATTCATTAAAGGTCGTGTTTGTATTAATTCCCAGGAGGGACCTGAACTCTTGTACGGTCTATTTGATGTGTAAATGAATAAGGAATAGGGTTCACAGTAGTTTAAGACAGTTACTGTAAGACACTTATCTCTCCGACTGACTTAAAGAAAAAAAAGAGTAGGTTACATTCCTAGCAATGACCATTGATTAGTCTGTCAAATCAGCAGTCACAGGCCATTTAGCCACCAACAAACAGAACCGAGTCATTAAATGAGAGCTTTGAGTGGGGTCTGAGAGCACATCATGACTGGTGTTGTTTCTGGCAGTGAGAAGCATAAACGACACCCTCCCATTTCCTACAGTCAGAGGCATTTCGTGGAAACTAGGCGTTGGAAATTCTTTCAGTGGGCTTAATTCCATGACAATCATCCACAGTCACTCAGCGGTGGAGGGGAGCGAAATCTGCTTTTGTGGGTACAGTAATCCTGGTACCTGGGAAGCCCTGGAAAGTAACTCTGTCCCCTGGTGCTGCTCCACTTGGAGGATCGAGAATCTCGACCTCGTCTGGTGAGCTGGCACACATGACCATAGCCTGGGACACCACTCCTCTCATCTTGGCTGGCTTCAAGTTACACATCAGGACCGCCATGCGGTTCTGCATCTGCACGGGGGACAGAAGATTAAATGCATTTTTACAGCCAATATATCCTTGACAATAGAGAATAAAAACAAATAATACCCCATTCACTTAAAAAAACAAAAACACCATCAACTGGTGTGGTGTGACTGAGAATTCCACAATCCAATATAAACAATAACGCCACTCTAATCTCCTTATTCAAAATTGCTTTGTCTGAGGATTATGGTTTGTTTGCCTCATTTCATAAATCAAAAGTGAAAAGCAAACAGAAAAACCTTTAACTCTAGTCTGGGGAGCTCTTTGACTTACCAAATTGAAAAGAAGACCGGAGGCTTTTGGTTGTACTTTGAATTTTTCATCTCAAGTCAGGGACAGAATGTGAATGTTCTGAATTTACAAAACAAACTGTTTGACATGAGCTATATTTTATGTGGAGCATAGCCACTTCATTATGTTATGATTAGCCACTCTCATACTTTTATTGAACTTGTATAAATACTACAGTTAACAAGCAAAGAGTTGATTTAAGACTGTTGGTAATGGACTGTTGCAGAAGTTTGACAACCATAAATGTGTTTGCTCCGGGAGCAAAACATAAATGTGAAGCAAAATAAACACCGATATTCAATGGAGATCCTGAAACACGCACAGGAAATGTTGAGTTTCTAAGCAGAACCGCCAGCACTTAAGAAGTCACTTTAAATGGACCAATAAATCCTTACTATGACCCTAGAGACCCACTAATGCATACAAATGTATACAGCACTGCTTGTGTGTGTGTGTGTAGTGGAAACAACTCTCAAATAGCGTCTCTGCAGGGATTCATAAAGGTAGTACGGAATTAAAATTTGTATTGAAGTCTACATTTTCCTCACTCATAAGCAGACATTGTAGAAGGTCGGCAGATGTTGATTTTGACATCTACATCCTGGAGCCTTTCAAAAACAAGCTAAATCAGTGAATGTGTGTGAATCTCTACACTTAATCTCTGAGGTGGCCAGTTCATCATAAGACAAAGTTCCCTGACCCAACCCTGGTAATTACACTGCATTTTAACATCTCATGATATTGCAGAAACGTCTTTATTCCACTCTGCAAATTGCACTGAGCTACCTGTATATAATAAACTAGCAGCCAAGTATATGAGTTGTACTGTACCTGGTCCAGAGGTATGTGTTTGACCAGCCCGCTGACCACTGTCCTAGGAGAAGCCTCTCCCACATCCACCTGCTCCACATATAGACTGTCGGCATCAGGGTGCTTCTCGGCTGTGATTATACGTCCAACACGCAGGTCCAGACGAGACACGTCCACCTTGGCGTCTTCTTGGCTGGGGGCTGCGGGCTTCTTCTCAGCTTTCTCCCCTCCTGGCATACAAGAAAGACAAACACTGTTATACTACACACTTTGTATATCATTTAAGTACGTTTGTGTCATTTGAATGAAAGCGTGTTAGAGCAATGTGGTTGGGTGTTGGAAGTTGGGTTCGGAGCACTTTTAGCACAGACAGTAGCTATCCATCATGTGTTGAGGGAAGTTTTGCTGCATGACGAGAGGCATCTGTGAGAGTTTTCATGCTACTATCTCTACAATGTGCATGATATTATCGAAAATGTTTGTTTAAAAGCACTGACAATATTTCAGCCAACTGGTATGGTTCCAAGGGAAATGATAAAAAAACAAATCATAGTTGAAGCAATGCTGGGCATCTGTCTGGAATCTGTTTTAATTTCCTCCCATAAATGATAAAAAAAAACCACCAATGACAGGCCTGAGGGTTGCACTTCTTTCACTTCTTCCCAGAAACGCGGGGCACAAACCTTGACTAAACGAGTGTACCAATACGCACTTTTGGGTGAGTGCTTCGTGATCCAATGACATAGCAGAATAGCAGATGCTTCCTCCCGAGAGACACAGAGTACCTTTCACTGGCCTCGTCTGCTTACACATTCATTCCAGTGGATTGCACTGATCAAATGACCACACAGTCTTTAATCATTCCTCCGAGCCGACACCAGCTCTGAGGAATATGAATTCCAACCCCTGCCTTTGATATTGAACATTTCTCCTCTGTGTAATCAATGCTCTGCTGCGATGACAGCACAGCGATGTGAAACATTACCGACTACACTAAAGTTACACATGGGTTTGTTTAGACTAACAAGTAATGACTGTTTGGATTAGGTGAGAACACGGTTACATTAATGCCTGAGGTAACACAGATTTGAACATGTACAACACCTTATAAAGAACTCTCATCAACAGCTCCCTAACATCTGCATGTAAGGAATGCCAGACACAACAATCAATTTGTAAGTGTCTTGACGCTCGTTTCTTTCCCTTTCTAAATTATAACCTCACAAACACATCCAGTGCTAATCATTCTCTGACTGTGCCCGACAGTCCTGATGATGATGATTCCAGATAGCTTATTGCTAAAAGTGAAATATATATTTGAGTGATTTATTGCTTTGTATTCCAAACTTATAAATGTGAAACAGCTTAATGCCATTATATTTGACACATCGGGATACATTGGTTTTATGATGGGTCCTTGAATGACACAGATCCACAAAATATTAAATCATTTTAAAAATTGGATTCAATCACTGGGGACATTAGACGAGGACACCTCTTCACAGACGAAGCTTAGAAACCATAAAAGTCCAAAAAAAAAAATGCAGCTTTACTAAAAGTCTTCCTACTGAGGCCCGGAGATCATGGATCCATTTAGAGGCTGATTTCGCCGTCATACATTCACCGGAAATTCCAAGTGGAAAAACATTGACTTGGCCAATTGAGTTTTGCATCTATCCAAATGTTGATAGAAAAAAAAAAAAAAAAAGGATCCTAAAACAAAACCTTAAAGGCAGAATAAGTAGGGCTTCTCGGTTGCACTTCATAAACCCAACATATGAAGGTGAAAGCCAACCCCAGATCCACTCATTTATATCTATTTGCATTTTTCGGCACTGTGTCCAGCATTTTCTGAGCTCCTCTTGCATGCGTGATTACAATCTGGCACCTGGTTATCCAGAACCCAGCACATAAGAAGAGACAGGCAGAGGGCAGATACAGACGCTGCCACACACTTCTAGGGGTCATTAGGAAAATCCAACGCATTCTGCCTTTAAGTTCTAAATAAGAATAATAACTGTTGATGAAGTAGGAATATATTCTGCAATTTATGACTTTAGTCCTTTCTGCTGAAAATGAAAGAGATGAAAAACTGAAATAAATGATACAAATGTTGCTATATGACATATCTAAAGAGATTTAATCACATTTTATTAGATGTGAAAACTTCAAGGGGATTCATCATAAAACCCTGAAATGTGGCTTCATTTTGTTCTCCAGCTGTTACCTTTTTTCTCCGGCTTCTTTTTACTCTCATCTTTGGGAGGGGAGCTCTGGACGGCAGCAGCAGGGGAAGCAGAGGGTGCTGGAGGGGTGGGCTTCGAAATGCACTCAACGCTGTTGTCAGTCGATGGCATGGCCACTGCCCGCACTACAGGAGAGAAAACAGGCAAAAGGTCGGTAGAAAAACATGATTAAATGGTGGATCACAGTTACTGTCTGAAAGACTTCTTCGTACGGACAGAGCTGGTTGCATCAACATGGTCCAACGAAATGATACAGAGGTAGATTTATTTACACACCCAGTGGGAGGACTGCTCTCCTGATGCAAACAGTTTAGAAGGGAAAATGACACAGTGTCCAAGTTGATGGAAACAAGGAAATGGAGCCGTAAAGCAGGGAACAATGTCCGACAATAACTCTCCAGAAAAAAAAAAATAACCCCTCATTTAAGGCGCCTGATGTTTGAATTCCTAGAAAAATCCAGTGCCTGTGTCTGACAAACATCGGTCTGCAGGCACACCACCGTCGCCATAATACTTTTAATTACCTTAATTCTATGTTAGGACCTGAGCTCAGGACCTTTCCCGTTTACCTTGGAATTACACGCAACAACCTCTTAAACTCATTCCCCTTAAGTTTGCTGTGGGGTCATAGGGTTTGCACTATTATATCAAATGACGTTATTGTAGATGTCCGGTACATTATTTTATTCATGTATCTCTGGAAACATTGGGATTTCGACCAGAATTTTAAATTAAAGCTGCACTTATCCATATTGTTACATTCAAAATGAATCAAATGACTGGAAAGTATAAAGGGTTTGCTAGTAGTGAAGAACCCACAGCATATTACCAGCCCCCCCCCCCGGTCTACAGAGGTTTCTTTTAGCCTCTCACAGCTCAGTTTTGGTTTTCTGACCCTGACCTAGCGTCTGGCTGGTGAACACAATGAAGCATTTAGCAGCTAAAGAGACCGGTATTTTAATCAGGAGTTGGTGGAGACCAAAACTGAAGAGCTAAAGAAAAAAGCGAAAATTTGTCTTAAATTTGTCACATGGCCAGAAACCCATTACCAAATGAATGCCTTTGTTGCTCCATGTATGCTGGATGTGTTCATAGAAAACTATTTGCAATCATGTTTGCCATGACGAGGCGCTAATATGACAACCAAAGTGGACCCCAAAAAAAGTATTGCAGCCATAACTTATGTGGGTTTGAACAATGCTCGTCTTCAACTCAACTAAAATGAAATTGTTTACAGTTTTTATTCCTTTGCTGCAGATATGTTTTTCTCAAGGCACTATTATATTCATATTCAGTAGTTTTCGCGATCTCAATACTTTCAAAACGTTCTTATTCATCCATGTTTTAAGCCATTGAATGCCACCTTAAAGCCATTGAAAAGAAACCCCCCAAAAATAAACATCACAATTAGAACCATAGTCTTTGGTACATTGGAACGCATTCCTTCTACGTTCCAACACTAACATACTGGGTCTTTTTGAATAAGGTTAAATTGCTTATTTCTTCCAGCCCTCTGTCTTTCTGGAAAACATTAAATGTGTGTTAATGATCTGAGCCGTTTGCCCTTGAATGTCAGCGTACGTCAAACGCACATAGCTGGCAGACATGTTGTCCCCATCACTGTAATGGGGATTCTCGAAGCACTATGGCTGCTTATAATAAAAATAAAAATAAATAAAAAGATCCGGTTATAATGGGCTTATAATGCAAAAGATGTTATCATGCATAGTAAACCAAACAATGCTATAATGAGCAACAACTGACATCAAAATGTTCTTAATGTCACACAACCGCTTCTATAACTAGATATGAAGGATAACAACATCAAGGTCTTTAAAAGACAAACATTTAATCCGTGATGGAAGATTTTTCTGGGAACCAAACCCAACATACCTCCCCTCTTCTTCTCTTTTTCCAGCAGCTGTTTTTTCAGTTCCTCGATGTCATTCTTCAGTTTGGCATTCTCCACCATCAGCTTCTTCTCTTCCCTGACACTGGCCTGGACGACTGCAGCAAAGGCAAAGTCTTGTGAGCTCTCAGCACTGGAATGAAATTTCACTATCCCAACAGGACATCGTCAGAACTGCTGAACTAGTACAAATACAATATCGACTTAAACATAGTGACTATTAAAAGTCTATATTGTGTCTCTTTTAGAGTTAAAGAAACGACAGAATTGTCCGTGAATCCAGTTTTTGGATTACAGTAAAACACCCTGTCCTTACTCCTTTAGAATAATTCATACGTCTCCCATTGTGCAAGTGATACAATTGTCATTGTATAAGATCATAAAGATTATTCAAAGCCGAGCTTTATCATTTACCCAATTGCAACAGAAATAGAAACTTCTGCTGTCTTATTATATTTTGTAAAAAATAAGACTTAACTCTACCTAAAACATGTTTATAATTACATTTATAAAGTAATTCATTTGTGTATGGAATATATTTGGCTCATTTGACCACCTTTTTATGAGTCAAGCTTATGAATACCACGCGGGGCCTCAGGTATCATAAAACTGCCCGTAGTCCGACAGGGATTTCACTCTTTAAATCATGCACGTAAGCAGTTCTTCAGCCCAAAAGTATGTCACTCCTACAGCCAATACAGAAATTAATTATGCACTACATCTGAACACTTCCTGCATAGAAATATAGACACATTTGGAAACAACTTCATCATTTATAAAAGTGTACTATATACGTATATATACACGTGTGCACACACACACACACACACACACACACACACACACTTTTTGTAAGACTGTGTCGGCTCGTAATCAGCTGACAAAATGTTCTATGTATAAGCAATTTAGTGTGCGGTTGTGTAAGTTGAAGTGTGTCTCTTACTGGCTTTCTCCTTCAGCAGCTGGACTTGTTGTTTGAGGTACTCGATAATCTGGTCAGCCTCGGACGCTCGCTGCTCCAGCCTCAACAAAGGATTGTGACTTGACATCTTGAACAAGGAGCGAGCTAAAAACCTAACAGACAAAAAACACATTCAGAAATCTTAATACTACAAAAAGCTAGATATTAGAGCTGGACAATATATCGAACTGTTTACATTCGCAATACAACATGTAGGGGCAAATTTTGCAATAGTATCTTTCCTTTTGTTTTAAATGAAGGCACCAAGCTAACAAATACTTAGAAAGTTACCCTATTCCACGAAATTTCAAGTTTACCCAAGTGACGCATTGTAAAAAGAGACGGTATTCTAAAGTGCTATGCCAAACATCTACAAAGATGCATGTTTGGAGTTACGAGGTTTGCATTCCAGTACAACGTAACCACAAACTACAGCTCTGAACTGACCACTGAGTAAAGCCAACTTCTCTCCGACAGTTGCAACAAAAACATTTCATTTCTGCAATGGTGGTATGGGGTTGCAGGGTTGCTCTATAGGACTGCATTACATTGTACAGGCATTTCCTATTTTGTTTAACATATAATATAATGTACCGGTGCTTCATTAGTAAACACTGTATTCCAAAAGCAAAAATTCAGATATGTTTGAAAATGTCTGACAACAATCACAATCCGACATGTTTTCCATGTGCAGTCCCAGTAGGTATGAACAATGTCTCAATAGAAGTTTACTGTTTGCTACAGTGGGGCAAAAAAGTATTTCGTCAGCCACCAATTGTGCAAGTTCTCCCACTTAAAAAGATGAGAGGCCTGTAATTTTCATCATAGGTATACCTCAACTATGAGAGACAAAATGAGAAAAAAAAAAAAAAAAAAATCCAGAAAATCACATCTGATTTTTAAAGAATTTATTTGCAAATTATGGTGGAAAATAAGTATTTGGTCAATAACAAAAGTTCATCTCAATACTTTGTTATATACCCTTTGTTGGCAATGACAGAGGTCAAACGTTTTCTGTAAGTCTTCACAAGCTTTTCACACACTGTTGCTGGTATTTTGGCCCATTCCTCCATGCAGATCTCCTCTAGAGCAGTGATGTTTTGGGGCTGTCGCTGGGCAACACGGACTTTCAACTCCCTCCACAGATTTTCTATGGGGTTGAGATCTGGAGACTGGCTAGGCCACGCCAGGACCTTGAAATGCTTCTTACGAAGCCACTCCTTCGTTGCCCGGGCGGTGTGTTTGGGATCATTGTCATGCTGAAAGACCCAGCCACGTTTCATCTTCAATGCCCTTGCTGATGGAAGGAGGTTTCCACTCAAAATCTCACGATACATGGCCCCATTCATTCTTTCCTTTACACGGATCAGTCGTCCTGGTCCCCTTGCAGAAAAACAGCCCTAAAGCATGATGTTTCCACCCCCATGCTTCACAGTAGGTATGGTGTTCTTTGGATGCAACTCGGCATTCTTTCTCCTCCAAACACAACGAGTTGAGTTTTTACCAAAAAGTTCTATTTTGGTTTCATCTGACATTCTCCCAATCCTCTTCTGGATCAACCAAATGCTCTCTAGCAAACTTCAGACGGGCCTGGAGATGTACTGGCTTAAGCAGGGGGACACGTCTGGCACTGCAGGATTTGAGTCCCTGGCGGCGTGGTGTGTTACTGATGGTAGCCTTTGTTACTTTGGTCCCAGCTCTCTGCAGGTCATTCACTAGGTCCCCCCGTGTGGTTCTGGGATTTTTGTTCACCGTTCTTGTGATCATTTTGACCCCACGGGGTGAGATCTTGCGTGGAGCCCCAGATCGAGGGAGACTATCAGTGGTCTTGTATGTCTTCCATTTTCTGATAATTGCTCCCACAGTTGATTTCTTCACACCAAGCTGCTTACCTATTGCAGATTCAGTCTTCCCAGCCTGGTGCAGGTCTACAATTTTGTTTCTGGTGTCCTTTGACAGCTCTTTGGTCTTGGCCATAGTGGAGTTTGGAGTGTGACTGTTTGAGGTTGTGGACAGATGTCTTTTATACTGATAACGAGTTCAAACAGGTGCCATTAATACAGGTAACGAGTGGAGGACAGAGGAGCCTCTTAAAGAAGAAGTTACAGGTCTGTGAGAGCCAGAAATCTTGTTGTTTGTAGGTGACCAAATACTTATTTTACCGAGGAATTTACCAATTAATTCATTAAAAATCCTACAATGTGATTTCCTGGATTCTTTCCCCCCCATTCTGTCTCTCATAGTTGAAGTGTACCTATGATGAAAATTACAGGCATCTCTCATCTTTTTAAGTGGGAGAACTTGCACAATTGGTGGCTGACTAAATACTTTTTTGCCCCACTGTATATTTTGGCTGGTTTCCCAAAACCTAGACAAAATCAGCCCTTCGTCCACAACGCATGCTGAGAGATAATCAGAAGAACATACGTTGCTTCTTATAAAAATGAGAAAACAAATCAGTACATCTTGTTTCCAGATTCATTTAATTTGAAGGTTTGTTGCAACATTTTAGTGAATGAAAACCTCACAACAGCCTTCCTATCTGTCTTTCATAGTAACAAGTGTAAAGAAGTCAAATTCAGATAGTTTATCCTTAAACTACACTTAACATCAACATCATAAGCATTCAGTGTTGGACATGAAGTTTAGAAGGGTTCAGCCAGTTTTGGGCCACTCAACCAAAACACAACTGGACACCAGTTTGGGTTTTGGGGTAATGTCCCTTTATCATGTTGATCTTGGCAAATTACTTCTTTTTTTTTTTTTTTTTTTTAACAGGAAACGAAGAATTTTTACAAGGCTGAGGCATGAAAAGGGAAGAAAACTTCTTACACATATTACAGGGAGGCGCTGGAAAACAACAGCTGGCCCGAGATGAAAACAAAATGTTGGGGGATGAGGAAATTAGAAACACAAAAGAGCTGGAGTTGATAAAATCAAGGATCAAAGCGTTGCTTTTTGAGAAACCGAATTGATTTAAACAGGACCAGTGGTGGAGTAATGACAAGAGCCACAAAAAGGCTGATCTCATTTGGATAACCCCTGAAAATGAGTCCTGGGGCCGAGGTCTGTACTACAGCATGAAGACAAAGTTCAATCCAGCTTTAGATTTCAAATGGAAATAGCCAAAAGTGTTAAGAACGTTAAAGTGATGTGGGCTTTCAGCAGACTCCAGGATGCCGTTTACCTGTCTTCACTGTATGGAAATCAAAATCTTTATGACACATCTCCTGTTTTGCAACTGTACAAATCCAGCAGGTTAACTGCACCTAAGAGGGGACAGCTGGTGCTCAACTGGTGTTTGCCTTATCAAGCTCCTAAAAATAGGCATGGCTGACTTGTTTGCTTAGTCAACAGTTCTCCACGCTAATATCTTATGTCTACATCCATTATCAAATTAAAATATCAAAGATAATACTGCATAGCGATATACAGACTAAACAGGTGGTTTGAATCAGATGGGTAAATCTGTTACATTTAACAACCAGCTTTCTCTGGTATGGTAGTGAGCAGACCCACCAGGATACAAGTGTTTGCTCTTCTCATGCTTCATTCCCACAGTGAAAATAAACTATGAGGATACTTCCCCCACCTGTCTGCCAACCAGACCAATGTAAATGAAAAGAGAGAACAGTATGCCAGCACCACCTGAAGGCATTAGAGGGACCTACATATCTTAACTTAAAAGATGAGGTTTAGTCTTTAGCACCAGATGCAGCCTTGCAAAAATAAAAGTACACACAACAGAGAGAGAGCAAAAAAACGCACTAATGTTTCTGCACTGAACTTTGGCTCTGGTTTATGCTCTTAGATGCTTGTTTAAAAAAGGAGATGCACTTATGACTTCTGGTGACTAGTAGTTCTCTTGAATACCTATGTTGAATACACTTATTGTAAGTCGCTTTGGATAAAAGCATCTGCTAAATGACTGTAATGTAATGTAATAATTGAGATACCGTGTCAGAGTTTGACAATGCCAAATTCAATTTGATTACAAATGTAACATGCCGGCAACTAAGTTACATGCACATAAAATTTCATGAAATTGGTTAATAAATGACATGAGGTTCATAACTCACAGAAATATAAACCATAAAACACCAATTACTGTCTATGTCTGCATAGAAAAACGGGAAAACAGTTGGAAACATAACAGCAGAAATAGACTCTAATGATCTGATAATGTATCACTTCTTTAAAAACATTGATTAAATGTTTAGAGCATAAAATGTCATTATACTGTCGAGTGCCCATTGTGATTATTTTTATTTCCATATTTTCTTAATTGTTCAGAGGAGGAGTCATTGCACACACGTATTTAATGTAGAGGAGTGCTGAAAGGATTGGATGTTAAATAAAAAACGGCATAAAATTACTTTTCATTTACACATTAAAATCATGCAGCTTACAGTACGTTTGTATAATGGATTATATTATTATTTGCCCCTGAAATATGAGGATTTACATCATTTATTCTGTTTTACATCACCAAATTAGTGTTTTGGATTAAACAGTATTTTGACAAAACCGGTCGAATCAGTAGATGATGAAAACTATTGTTGGCTGTAGTTTACTTACTAATCACTAACTAGTTACTTAGTTATAGTCTCTGGTAGTCAGAAAATAAAACAAAGACTAAAGCATCGACTCACTTGCAGATACAGCAATCAAACTACAATAATTTAATATTGGGGAAGTTAATGTTGATCACAAAATTAAATGCATTTGATTTGTGGAGGATGGATTGCTCAACAACGTGTATTAGTGGTGTCAGTTAGCTTTTACTCGGTTCAGCTCACACAGAACTATGTAGCTGGGACAAGGACAATCAAATTGACTTTGGGCTAACTCTCATGTAGCTAGCACTGGCATCCCGCTAGCTAGGCGGTTGGTTAGAAGTTATTGACGACGTAAGATCGGTTAGTTGTAAAAAAAAACAAATAAACAGGTTTTTGGAACTTACATGGACTCTGAACCGCAACCCCAGCACGTTTCAGGGAGAGGTGGGGGCTTGACAGCTGCTAGAACTGGCTCCTGCTACAGCTAGCTAGCTGACAGACAGACAGGCAGCCAGCGTCTGAGGCCCCCGCCGTTAGATCTCAGCAGCATCCGGATGTAAAATAGGCCGGTAGAGTTTCCGTAATATCTTCTATAGATCGGATACCGTCGCAACATGTAAGGAGTCAACGGATAATGCCTGTGTGTAATAACTACAATGAGAAACCAACTCTTCAAAAAATACGGAAAAGATAATTCATAAACAACCTTGTTGAGTTTTTTTGAAATAACTTAGTTTGATTTAAGTTCCATAATTGTTATGTTTCTATTTTCTTTCTTCCGTGGACTACTTTCTCGCAGAATAATGACGTAATTGGTCACGTTCACTCAGCTGTTCCCATCACATTGCAGAGCCAGGAAATGATATTCATTTCAAATATTTTAATACTAATTTAGAGTTAATTCCGACGACATGGCCATACAGCTTTACCATGCATGTTTGCTGTGATTGACAAGCAAGTCTGTTGTTAATTCATTATATATATAGCTTTGTATTTACAAGTGGTAAACAAAATGATATAGTGTAGGACTGCATTTTATTGTTGTCCAACAACACAACACCACAAGTTACCATTTCAACATGTCAGCTGATTACAGCTAGGGGAGTACAACCCCAGCAGTAGGTATTCCACCTGAAACAGTCGCACAGGAACCAAGTTTAGTCCCTGGTTCCCTAGGTTAGAATGCAAGTTTAGCCGATGTAGATTTCCCCATAGGGTACGTCTTGTTCTCCTCATTCA